CTCTACTAACTATGACTCGTAGCAGAAAGTGAAGTGAAGTGCGAGTAGTTAGCGAGGCAGATTATATCCTACAGCTGAAAGTCTGGAAACTGCGTAGGTGAAACCAGTAGCAAGATAAGACATCCAAAATGTAATAAGACTCAAGGCGAGCCGCTACAGAGATATGCATGTATAAGGCGCAAGGCGTGTTTGTTATGCGTATAACCGACGGGCCGACAACATATGTGCCCCTAAACATAATCAATAACAGATAACCAAGTGGAAAACGCACCAGCGAAGTCAAACGGACACAGACGGGACATGGTACGGAGGATCAGAACTGTATACAGGCCTCGGAAATGGACGGACGACCTTCGGACGACTCAGACAAATGCGCGGAACTCTCGGAAGGTAAAATGGAGTGTCGAGGAATATGTGTGTGGGATACCCTTAGAATTGGCAGGATACGAGCCCAACACCGATCCGAGTGCTACACCAGCGAGTTTTTATTCATTCAATTGACGTGTCATAATTTCTGATTCACACACTTACTATCAGTCTAATCCGCATTCTACATAGTACTCCATTTTCTGGTATCCATTGCTGCAACTGCTCACCGCTCACCGCTCAACATGGCCCCAGCTGTCACCAGGCTCGTCTGTCGGTTTCCGAACTGCAACAAGGTCTTCAAAAACAAGTCTGGCCTCACTCAACACACAAATGCGAAGCACGGCACCTGACAAACACAGTGAGACTTCAATCGCACAGCTCCACCCGCAGGTCCCGGATTTATACTCCCAAGAAGTTGTTCTCCCACTCCAGCAGGTAAAAACCAGGTTATCGATGAGAATTTCCATCAAGACGCAGCGGGTGAGCAGGAGGATGGAGGCTTTGTACCTGAGGAAGGTACTTGGGCGGACATGGGGTGTTTATTCCACACATTCCATCCACACCTCACAGGTGAGTGTTTTTTTAGGAGTCTGTCATACTATGGCACTCATTTCTTTTGACTTAGGACTCAAATGTGATGCTAACAGGTCATTTATCGACCAGGATGCACCCCCACTGCCTCATACGGATGCCCCCCCGACTGACTGGACACCTTATAATGATCGAGCTGCATTTGAGACAGTGGAGTTTGTATTCACGCGCAATCAAATGTCTGCAAAGCAGATTGATACACTTCTCGACTTGTGGGTCACAACTCTCATTAAGCACAATGATGCTCCCCCTTTTGCGAACCATAAGGACATGTATGCTACCATCGATGCAACACCACTTGGTGATACCCCTTGGAAGAGCTTTACGATGTGCTACAATGGAGTCAGACCTGAACAAGACATACCGCCATGGATGGATGGAAAATATGATGTATGGTATAGAGATCCATTGCAAATGGTGCGCAGCATGCTGGCAAACTCTGAACTTGATGGAGGAATCGAGTTTTCACCATATCGTGATTATACCACTGAGAACAAACGATACTGGAAGAACTTCATGTCGGCTGACTGGGCGTGGAACCAGGTGGTGCACTTTTTAATATTCACATTTTTAGCATACTAACAATCATCTCAAGGATGTTATCGCTCAAAATGAGGAGAATCATGGTTCGACATTCGTGCCATTGATTATCGGCAGCGACAAGACAGTCGTTTCTGTCGCTACTGGCCAAACTGAATATCACCCACTTTATCTCTCAATTGGGAACATTCACAATAGCATACGACGGTGTAGCACTCGAGCTCGCGCTAGGCTCATATTCACTGAATTCCCTATCCATATTCAATGCCCGTCACTTTCCGATGTAACCCGCACAACCCGACACAAACCCGACGCTTTGACTAGCGGACCTGATGTTTCGGCCGCATCGGACCCGATATTTTCCCGCACACTTGTCCTATCTGTGTCCTGTCCCGTCTTGCTAGCCCCACTAGGTGAGTAGTTGATTATTTCACACATTACTCACGTCGTAGCAAGCGCTATTACATGTTTTCCCATCATCCGCAGCGCCTCATGTTAGTTTACATGTACTTCGGACCTGAAATCGTCGGCCGCTACTTTCGCCTATGGCCTTCCGGATTTCTACATACTTATATATATATTGGACTGACTATGAGTATTTTCATTATCCAAGTAGTAGGGAGCCGTTCCCCAATACTTAGTGGTCAAACCCGATATTTTGTAGTTCTTAGTTGACATTGCGAATATTACCGCTCTTTCTATCCGAAATACCCGTCGTTATCATATATCCGCATACCACTCGCTTTCCCAACGTTCACTATCGCCATTCCCGCTAACCCGCTAAACCCGCACCCAAAACCTGCTAACCCAAAACCCGAAAACATCGGACCCGATGCTTTGGCATCAGACATCGTAGTTATACCTTCGGACTTTGTTTCCCGCGCTCGGACTTTTGACCGTTTTATCATTTCACTAACTACAGACCATTCCAAATAGCTAACCCCTTGGGTCGAACGCACTTGTCTTGCAAGTATAGCAGACTAGGCTGTGCACGACCACAACATTTTTATATTGCTGGCTACTTACTTTGTGTAGTGCCCAGCAATTGTTGTATCTCTACAACGGGCACATCACAATGGCATTGTGCTCATTGGATTTCTTTCGATACTGAAATGTAGGTGCTTGTTATTCTCATTGCATCATTTCATCATAACCTTTGTTTGTTTAGCCACGAAGGAACATAATGACGATATCAAGTACAGAAATTTTCGACGGCAACTATTCCAGCATTCCCTTGCCAAGATTTTCGAGTCTGTGAAACCCTTTATGGAAACTTTTGACGTTACACACTTTCCGGACGGCCATTTTCAACAAACCGTGTATGGCTTGGGCCCATACATTGCTGACTATCCAGAACAGTTAATTCTCTCTGGCGTCGTGCAGAATTGGTGTCCACGGTATGTCACAATTTTATTTCACTTTTTAATGACTCATCTTATCATAATAGGTGTCTGGCGAATAGGAAGGACCTTGACAGCGATCAACCATGTCTGCATCGACACGAAGCACACACCGAGTTGCTCATCGAACAACTCACACACAAACAGGCTTGGGATGAGTATGGCATCATTGCCAATGTTGTCGTAAGTTGCTTGCTGAAACTCGCCAAGTCCAATCTCACCTGTCCGCTTTGCTAGCCATTTACAAATGACTTTCCTCGAGCGGACATCCATGAGCTCCTATCGCCGGATATTTTACACCAAATAATCAAGGGAACTTTCAAGGATCATTTGGTTGATTGGGTGGGTGATTATTTGCAGGTCACACATGGTGCTCGTCATGCGGCCGAGATCATGGATGACATTGACCACAGGTATGCAAACCGTTGATGTTTTTTTAATAACTACTAATGTCATACAGGATAGCAGCAGTCGCCCCATTCGCTGGGTTGCGACGCTTTCCTGACAGGCATGGTTTCCGGCAATGGACGGGTGATGACTCAAAGGCATTGATGAAGGTATGCTGGAGTATTCCCTTCTGAATGACAAGCCAGCTAACTCATATTTAGATCTATCTAGCTGCAATCGAAGGCCATGTTCCTCAAGATGTGGTGTGCACATTCAGTGCATTTCTAGAATTTTGCTACATTGTAAGGTGTGAGGCTCTCACTGAAGATGACCTCGTACAACTCCAAGATGCCCTCAACCGCTTTCACAAATACTGGGAGGTTTTCAAGGCAACTGGTGTGGTCTCGACATTCTCCCTTCCGCGTCAACACTCCCTGTGCCACTACATATTGCTGATTCGACTTTTTGGCGCACCCAATGGCCTTTGCTCTTTGATTACTGAGTCCAAACACATCAAAGTGGTTAAAGAACCTTGGCGCTGATCTAGCAGGTTTAATGCACTCGGACAAATGCTACTAACAAATCAATGCCTTGACAAACTTGCAGCTGCTTGTGCAGATTTTGAGGCACGTGGTATGCTTCATGGCTCTTGTCTATCCAACACTTTGGGAGAACTCCGGAGACGTGCGTGATCATTTGATCTGACGATTTAGCCCTTCTCATGTCCCCAAACAGGTCAGAATGTTCATGAAGACAACGACTCAGAATTGGATGATGATGCGATGGCTGATATGGTGCAAGAAGGTCATTCTAGGCGCCTGCATGTCTACAAACCTCAAAACCAATCCGTTGAGGTGGATGCTGGTGAAATTGTTGATGGACTGATCGAGGAGTCCCACGACGGGCTTGCAGCGACTCCCCGTATGTTAATCTATTTACTCCTTGACCCTTTCTGACAATACATAGGTTGCGTACGAAATGTTCATACACTCAGCCTTGAACTCGACCTTCCACGCCTCCCTCTTTTGATGCAAGAATTCATCCACGATCAGCACTATTTAGAAGACACCAACCCTCCTGAGTTTGATCTGGAAACAGCACAAGTATTCCTGGGGAAAGTAGCTGTCTTTAATTCTGCTGCAGCGTCATTCCATGCACCCAGTGATCTGAGTGGTACTGGAGGTATGCGTCGCAAGCACATCCAGGCAACACCATCGTGGTGCGGTGGCGAACCTAGGCGTGATTGTATCTTCGTCAATATGGGTGCCGACTTTGACTCTCCCATGGGTGGACTTGCAGTTGCGTGGGTCCTGTGCTTTTTCTCTTTTAACTATCAGACATTGTACTATCCTTGTGCCATAGTTCATTGGTATGCTTATGTGCTTGAAGGACGTGATCCCGACACAGGCATGTATGTCGTCACACCGACGACAACTGGTGATGGTGTTCCAGACATCTCAATTATTCACATTGATTGCATCTTTCGTGCTGCCCATCTCATTCCAGTCTATGGCCCAGACTTTATCCCCAAAATCAGTCCACACGACTCGTATGACATGTTCAACTTGTATTATATCAACAAATATGCAGATCACCACGCTTTTGAAATAGTGTAATTTGCAGTATGTCCTTCCCTCTGCTGAACACCTTCCATCTTCCTTTCCCTAACCAAATACCCTGCAGATCTGTGTCAACGATGGCCCCCTAGAGCTGCAGATGAAGCCAGATGAATAATACAACGAACTTTTGAACAACTGCCGTCTTCTACGAGAATTCATATCTCCCGGGGTTTGTTAGACATGTTGACTTCGAACTTGACCAAAAAGCAGATATTGATAAGTAGCTCCGACTTCCAACACCCTGACTCTTATGGTTTTAGAGTCCCCACCAGACATTGGAAACCTCGCGGGGACAGTACATAATAACAGCGCCGTCGAAAATACAGCGCCAGACAGATGGCCCTAATCCTCATTATCTACCTGTCAAGCTTCATTGTCACTAGTGAACCCAGGTCAGTCCATTGGTGAACCAGCTACGCAGATGATGCTCAATACATTCCATTAGGCTGGTGTCTCCAGTAAGAATGTGACACTTGGTGACCCACGTCTGAAGGAGATTATCAATGTTGCCACCAAAATCAAAACTCCCTCCCTCACTGTCTACCTCGAGCCTGACATTGCTGAAGAGAGTCTGCTTGCCAAGAACATCGAGCAAGAGCTCACCTATACCTCATTTTGTACTGTGACCGCAGCCATGGAGATCTGGTATGACCCAGACCTAAGCTCCACCATCATCGAGGAGGACTCTGTCTTTGTAGAGTCATTCTTTGCCATTCCCGACGAGATTGAGTCCAAGCTGCATCTCCAGTCGCCATGGCTCCTTCGTCTCGAGCTTGATCGTGCTAAAATGATTGATTGCAAGCTCACCATGGCTTTGTCGCCAGTTGCAGAGAGTTTTAAGACTGATATCTTCATCATCTGGAGCAGACATGGAATCTCAAGGTTTGCATTTCTACATGTTATACACTAGTACAAGATTGACAGCACAAATTTAGAGTCACCGAGATGACACTATTCCTCTGTCCCTTCTGCTCTCGAGCGTCTCAATTCATGGGCCAGAAACAGCTCTTCCCCCTCTTCCAGAAGCCCAGCGAGGCCTCCGCCCTTCTGCTCTCGAGCGACATGTTCCGTCTCCATTCTCCATTCTCCGGAAGCAGCCCTTCCCCCTCTTCCAGAAGCCCAGTGAGGCCTCTGTTCCTTCTGTTCTCGCCTCCACTTCCTCTGCAATCACCTCAGCCATGATCACTGCCTCTGCCCGAACTATCATATCTCCCCATTGGTGTTACGCTGACCGTCGGTCGGCGTGTGCGAACTAGGATAGGTCTTCTCAGCGACGACTCGAGTGAGTCTACTGAAGCTGAGGGTGGTTCTCGGCTTGATGGAACGTCAAGGGTTCCTCCGGCGATCTCGGTAAGACGGCGCTCGTCGAGATGCAGGGCTAGCGGATACGTGCTAAGTCGTAAGGGGGTGACTTAGAAGTGCGGTCTCACACAAGGAAGCTGGTAAGGCTTAGATGAGCAAGTTCTGGGGATGAACCTAGTAGATTAAAGTAAAGTCTAAGTACAATAATCTGTGTCTACTTATAGAGAAGTACTACAAGTATTCTAGCTCAGTCTGTAATCAATAGTATATCTAGGATCTATGATAACAAGACATGAGGTTCAGATAAGATACATGAGGCTTAACCTCTGATCAAGCATGCAGCGCCAAGTGCGACTGCGCGTAGGTACAGGAAGCGCCAAGAGCGCTCCGGATCTTCATGAAGCGACATGCGGTATGCATGCGCTGATCTAGGGTGACCATGAGGCGTACAGCCTCCATGGATCAGGTACAAGGCCATCTGGGCCAGGGGCGGGGTCATAGCGGTCCAGACCGCTGTCTTTCTAGGCGCGGGCGGCGCACCGCCGCGTGGGGAGTCTAGCAGAGCGGGGGCAGGCGTAGGCAGAGCTGGGGCTCCTGTAGGTGTTACGGATGCCTGTAACAATTGGTGCCTCCTCCCTTGCCCGCTGTAGCACTCAGATCGGTGTTGGGCTCGTATCCTGCCAATTCTAAGGGTATCCCACATACACATTCCTCAACACTCCATTTACCTTCCGAGAGTTCCGTGCGTTCGTCCGAGTCGTCCGAAGGTCGTCCGTCCATTTCCGAGGCCTGTATACAGTTCTGGTCCTCCATACCATGTCCCGTCCGTGTCCGTTTGACTTCGCTGGTGCGTTCTTCACTTGATTATCTGTTATTAATTATGTCTAGGGGCACATATGTTGTCGGCCCGTCAGTTATACACGCCTTGCATCTTATTACATGCATATCTCTGTAGCGGCTCACCTTGAGTCTTATTACATTTCGGATGTCTTATCTCGCTACTGGTTTCGCCTACGCAGTTTCCGGACTTTCACGCTATAGGATATAATCTGCCTCGCTAGCTACTCGCACTTCACTTCACTTTCCCTGCTACGAGTCACAGTTAGTAGAGTCACTTTCAGATAGTCGTACTTCGCGCAATCGATCTTTGTTCATTCAGAACGATTGTTTTGGCTTGACCACTGCATTTCGCTCTTCGCTGTCTCTAAGTTCTCCTGATAGGCTTTGCTTAGTTATACTTCACGAGTCTTATACTTCGATACACCCGCCGTACTTCTCTCGAACACTCGCTGTTCATCGGAAGCTCTTCAGACGCTTCGCGCAACCTCGGACCTTCGTTTCTAGACGTCGACCACCTTCGGACCACTTCGGACGAGTACTTCAGTACTTCGGACACATCCTCGGAACACCGAGTGCACTCTTGGTAGCTTTTCCTTCTCTCACCTTCGATCTTAACAAGATATCCCTTGCTTTTTATCAGGAGCATTTCTATAGGCAGTCTCTTTGGGACGAACATCACCACTCACACTCTGAGTCTTAAGGTAACACTTTTGTAGCGCTGACCTGCACCAAACCGGTTCAGTGCATGGATGACTAATGCTCTCTCACGAGCCCGATACCCTAGAAATCATTATGAACAATCTTCCTTTACTTTATGGTTCAGACTGCAGTTCAGATAGTATTTTCATTTCTCAGACAGACTCAGATAGGCTGAATATTCTTGTATATTTAATTTGCGGTAAATTCTGCTTAGTCAGCAATAACAATGACTCAGACTGAATCCCACAAATGCAAGTAACAGGTGTAACAATAGTTCTTGCATAATTTGCCTGTTGGAACTTTCTTAACACTCTAAATACATGGCTCGCGTCATTTCTACGGTCAATAAAGTACATCATAACAAGACACCAACAAATAACATAATCAGTCTGTTACTTAATATTTGTCACATGATACTAAGTTATATGACTCTAACAGTCAGGTGGACCTATGACCCTAAACCAAATCATGACAAAGCAACCTTTTGAGATGACTAAAGCTTGATGACACAAATTATAAAGCACATGACTACAGTAAATAGTATTGGTACAATCTGACTAAGCCTATTCCCCTTAGAACGTGGGAAATAGTGACACAGCCACCATAATTTATCTATATAAGACCCCACTTTTTGCCAATAAAAGGAGGCATATAGGGAACTTTTAAGCCCCACAAAATAAATTTGAGTGTGAAGTGTGATCAGTATCAACAACAGTGACAAGAGCTGTTAAGCAACTAACTGAGAGGTCATTGTAAGCAACATCTAGCAATACCTTTAGCTCATCGTCAACAACTGTGAAATATCTTGAGCTCACTGTGCTCAACAGTGAGCAACTTGTTTCTTTGATTTTCTACTGGTGAACCTCTAGTCTTTTCTTTTCTTTTCTTTCTTCTTTCTCTCTTCTTTTCTGTTTCTTTCTTTGTTTCTTTCTTTTCATTTGTCTCTTTTTCTGTTCAGTTCGTTCACGTCTCAGTGTTATTGTCTGAATTTGTTTCAAGATCTTTGTGTTGTCTTTACGTCCATCTAAGCACCGGCTTAGTGGGAAGACTTCAGAAGTTGATAGTGACGCTTGACCTCACTCATCTGAGTAGTGATACTGAGCCAGGGTTTTCTTTGTCTGCTAGACTTTAGTTGTTGAATAGGGACTTGGTACTGAATCCAAGGACGTCCGTTCCTGATTCTGTTTAATACTCATCGTGAGTTCCTTGGCAGCAGGTTCAATAGTGAACTAAGAGTTCTACTGATCACTGATTAGTCCTGACCTTTGATTCTACCTGTTTGTGCTGAGGGGTGATTGCTATAATTTCGCACGACTTTCTGTAGTAAATTTAGTACAAGAAGCATTGTTACTGAAGGAAGGGTTTCCCTTATCAATCTATTTCTTTTTTTATCAGTACCATACTGTTGGGCTGACTTTCTCTGTTCTCTAAACACTGCCATACCATTGGAGTGAATCAATTTCTTTTTGTCATCACCATACCATTGGGCTGACTACATTCTGTTTATTTTATTTTCTATTGCGTCCATACTGTTGGATTGACTGGTATTGCTGACTGACCTCACAGGAAGTACTTTGTCTGAACATAGCTTGGGGAAGTGTAAACAGCCACCCACGAACAACCATGTTATTAGTCATTGGTATTTGTCTGAATCACTGACCGTGGAGATTTTTGATTTTGTAGGTGTTTATCTATAGATCATCTATCTAAGAAGACAGCGCCCACATAGAATCAACTCTTACACCGCGATAGACAGATTTCGGAGACATGCAGTGTACTAGTGTCACATTAACGATTGACGTGACGAGCGCCAATAAAACTTACTGTAATTTTTTATTGGAATATATGAATTTCAGTGGTTGATCTCTGCGATGAACGAGTTGTTTGTCGCATGCTTATTTTTCAACTATTCGGAATGATGTGGTAATGTAAATATATTAATAAGCAAGCGCCTTGATCTCTGTCGCTGCCTTGATTGTCTTAGACCTACTTATAGTGACCTCGGCCTTAAAATAAATTGAACTAAGGATATCAATAGTGACTTATTCGCCTTAGCTGCCTTAACAGTATTTTTTAAGTCACATTAAGTAACTTAAGGTACAAAAAGGCACTGGATGATTTGCTGATGTTCCCTAGCACCGTGCTTACATAATGAC